AAACCGCTTAGAGAGGCCTGAAAGGCCTATGAAGCGGTATATAAGTCTACTGCTATTGCTATTGCTATATATGCTTATTTTATAAGTAATGTATACATTAATCAATGTCCAAAGTTGATAGGCATTTTCTAGCGATTTTTAAGAAATGATTTTATTGAAAGTTTTAGTAAACATAGTAAAAACTAATACAAACTAAACAAAGAGAAAAAAAAGAAAAGAAAATTTTAGAAATTTTTGGGAAAAGTGGAAAAAAAGTAGAAGAAAAAAATTAAAAGAAAAAGAAATAAAGACAATAATAAAAAGTGACTTCCACCCTTTATCAACCTAAGTATATGCTAATATATTAATTTTCACCCACTTTTAAAATCACAAATAAAAAGTTTTTCCCCATAGCTTTTTCATCTATGCACAATCCAAAAATTGTCACTTTTCAGTCCTGCTTCATTCCATTAGGAATTATCAGAAGTATCAAATACTTTATTCCCAATCAGTCCAACTTTATATTACTTCTTGCTCTTCACAATGTTTCATCATTTTTTGGCATTCAAGAAGAATTTAAGGCACTCCCCAGTCTCCTTTGTAAATCCCATGTAGAAGCATCATCCAGGTACCTTTCTGGGATTTAGGTAGGACATCATTCCTACATAAATGTCAATGTTTATTCAACATCACATATTTTCTGCAGTGGTAGGGATTTGGGAGAGTTATAAAGGAGCAAGGTCTGGAATCACAAACAATTATCTATTTGTAATACGCTCAAGTATATTTTATGGTTGGATGTAATAAAACTGTGCTTCTTTAAAGCGTATTGCTTCTGGTGGAGATGGGGAAAAGATGAAATTTTTTGGACAGTCAATACATGGTGAAATGGATTTAAATGGAGATGGTCTTACAGATGTTACTATTGGAGGCTTAGGAGGAGCAGCCCTTTTCTGGTAGGTGTATTCAAATTTAGGCTTGAAATTCCACCTTGTTATCAGTAATATAACAGTTATATTCCCTAACTGAATTTGTTGTCATATGTGAATGTAACTGAGGGAATAATATCAATTCATAAGGAAAGGTTGAAGTTACTGGCATGGTTGGAGAACTTGGCATGATTTTCAGAAGTATTGAAAACCCTAAAGCAGCTGATTGCATTTTGCATGAAATTTTGAATGACTGAATTAAGGACGAGCCTTTAAAACTGGAATACACAATCTAGGAAAATAACATGACTGGGTGGCAGGCTGGCATCTTGAGCAAAAATATGTCACATTGTAGACACAAAAATTGACTCTTTTTTTTAGAAACATCAGGAAGTAATATTAAGTAGGGAGAGAAAATCAAGTTCATTAGGACTGCACAATGTTATTTAAAATGTTTTGGGCTTTACACAAGCATAGGACCTCTCTTATATTCATAAAAATGTTAAGTTACTGAGACAATTTCCAGCTTAGTTTTCCCTCAGCATATTCTCAGCTAATTCAGATATCCAGCTCAGATCAAGCACACATGGCGCTAAATATTACAAAGTTGAACATTCTGTAATATTCCTTAATTGTTTTCTTGAATGGTTTTAGGTCTCGAGATGTTGCCCAAGTAAATGCGTCCATGAAATTCATGCCCAACAAAATTGATATTCAGAAGCTCAGTAGTGACATGCAAAAACAAAAGGTGTATATTAACTCCACAATTTGTTTTCAAGTCAGATTAAAGTCGAAAGACACCACAATTAATGAAACAGGTAAGTGGACATCCAGATTTCTGAACTCTGTATAGATGTTTTCTACCAGGAACGTCTGCTAGGAGGAGGAGGTGTCAAATATCAAGATGGTGACCCCTAAATTCCATGCCTTTTTTATATGTGTCACACATATAACACATATTTTTTAAAAAGCTGCTATCTTGATTGTTTTGATCCCTTTCCTGAGGATGCTCCTGTATTTATTGTTCAAACCACAGCTGCAATAAAAAATGTACTTCTGGACGGTTCTTTGGTAGTCTGCAGAGAGATTTAAATCCTAAACCATTACTTTGGGCATTACTTTGTTGCATAAAAATAAAATAGAACTAACGTTTTAAATGATTTTATAATATTGTATTTCTTATTAGCTAGAAGTTGAAGTAGGGATTGAACAATCCCATTACTTAGAACTTTAATAATGAGGGGGAAAGGAACAAATAAATAACCAGTTCAAATGACCTAAAGAAACAAAAGATTCATTAATGATTCAAGTTTCCCTTTTCAAATCCCGTGAGCCTTAACTGCAGCATTCAGGATTCAAGGGATAATTGTAGCTATTTATTCTATACAGAATATAGAATACTAGAAAAAAAACCAGTGATGACCTCCAGAGGTTTGTCCTAGAACTGAGAAAGAAATAGAGGCTAAACTCTATTTAAGAGCACAATAAATAATTGTTTCAGTGTATGTGACAGCAACCTCCTATTGCCTCACAATTAAATACACATTCAGTCTATGTCCAAAGAATATTTCTTGCACAAATGGTAGGATAGGAAATGTATATCCTTTGTTTAACTTTTGGCCCATTGCCTTTAATTTCACTGAACTGGCCTGCTTCAGCAGATAGCAGCCCTGACTTAATCTGGATTTGGAAGCTAAGCAATATCAGGTCTGGTTAGGACTTAGATGGAGGATCTTCAGAAAGTTAAACTGACTTTCAAAGAATTGAAACATATCCTGGAACAAGCTCTAGGAAGCTGTTGCCATGCACCTACCAAGAAAGCTACATGACCAATTAATGCAAAGGTCTTCAACCCCAAAGCCCAACTTACAGAATTCCCACAATGCAACATAACAACTCTAAGCTACACATACTATATCTGATACCCTCACACTGTATTAATACAGTCTTTAAAACTGGTAGAATTAATGAAGGGAAACAAATGAGCAGCTTTCATACAAAGCTACTATAGAAACTTTTTACATATGAAATTAATTGATCCTATTTTTGTTCCTAGATATACAGTACTGGCTTACACTTGATTCACAAAGAAAGGTGTCTCGAACACTTTTTGCTGAAACAAATGAACGGAGGATTCAAAAAAACATCACAGTTAGAGGTTCAGAATGCATTAAGCACAACTTCTACATGTTGGCAAGTAAATCATATAAAGTGGCTGTCTCCTTTGTCTATTGCTATAATTGACTTTATCTCAATGGCAGGGGATTGGACTAGAAGACCTCCAATGTCCCTTCCAACTCTGCTATTGTATTAAGTCCAAAAGCTTGGAAGACAAAATCTCTGCTCCCAGTGACTGACCCAGATCAGATCGTAGCTTGTTTCTATTGTATTGGTCTACTATAGGGAGCTAATATTGATCTTATTGGGGACAATAGCCCTGTAATGTTTTCCCACCTACTATTAAATTCAAAATGTAAATTATTATATATGTACTTCCATTATCACAGGCTGTTCAGGATGATTGGTGGCATACTGATATGTGCATAGAGGAAATACCTTAAAAATAAATAAATAAATAATCATATGAATCTCTTCCCCTTCTGACTTTCTTTTTCCATTTTCCATTTGCATTATTTTTTCATTTTCCTTATGCATTTATAGAAAATTAAATATGGTGGATGGCTGAAGGTCAGAACTTTGGAAATGCAGTATGTGTCATATGTTGAGATGGTAGACCGCCAATTGATGGGCTGAATTGTGGGGGACAAGTTTCTAGCAAATGGATGATTTTTCTGGCTATGTCCTCTATATCGTTTACTTCCAACATACCTGAAAGGGTGGCAGCACTTAATTAAACATGGCTAGTTTTGTAATAATTCTAGAAAAGATCATGAGCACTTCCATATTTTGCCAAGACAATAACATATATGTCTCAAAGAATTTTATTTGATTCAAGGGAATCTATCTTTACATAGTTTTTTCACCCATTTCCTACTGCAAATAACTTCCACCTTGAAACAGATGCAATTAAAGAATAATCAATTAGACCTGTATTTAATGAAAGGCCATTGCCAACACAGAAAATTAACACATGAAATTTTGTGTATGCGTAAATGTTTGTGGTTTCCAGGTTTACAAGACACAACAATATCTTATTAGTTACAAATAAAAACTTGGAAAGGAAATATTTTAATTTTTACCAAGCAACAAGATTTAAACTTAGGCGTGTCAAATTCACGTCATCATGGTGGTGTCACGTGATATATTAGGACTTTCCCCCCTTTGCTAAACCGGGTGAGGTTTGCAACGTGAGATGCATCCGGCCCGCAGGCTGGCAGTTTGATAGCCCTGAGCTAAATAATTCCTTCTGCTGTCACTGTTGTCATCAATATCTTCTTCATCATCACCACCATTGTTTTTGAATGCTTATTAGCTAATGAGTGGTAGGACTGATAAGGCTTGAAAGCATTAATTTTTAGTGAAACTTGTAACTTGTGAGAAAAAAGTAATTGTTGGGTGTTAACCTCTTAATAGGAAAATTATACTAGTTGGCTTATTTTCTTCCATCCAGACAGTCGATCTCATACCATTCAGAGGGTCCATCTATTATGGAACCCAGATCTCTGCATTCAAATCAATATTAATCTATGCTATGTCTACTTTGCTTTTGATATTGCTTGCCCTCAATGTCTCTTTTTAATCCTTAGCTATTATATATCACAGAATTATTTATCACACTATTATCTTATGCAAATAAATATCTCTCAGTTATATCAGTTCTAATAATCAGTTTCTCTATGGTTTTCTTTAATCCACCTTATGTCACTGTCAATTCTTCTTGCATCAGCCTTCACAGTTCAAATTTATAATCCACTAGATGTCATCCTCTCCTCAGTATTACTTTCTGTTCCATCAATCACAATCAGTAATCACAGCAGACCCAGGGGCAAAGACAGAACAAAGTGGTGGGGGTGGGGGTAAGAGAATTTTCCAACCATTCCAAAACAGTTCTTTTTCTACTGTCCCCTGTCCAGTTCCAACTCCTGAGGAGAGCAAGTACTGTATATTTGTAGAATACCCCCCCACCCCACCCCCCAAAAACTTGAGCTCTTCGTTACCTGGATTTATTGTTCATGATTTAGACTCTATTCAAAGTTCAGCTATTCTTTGGAAAGAAAAAAGAGCAGAAAGGAGAAAAAAACAATCAGCCCGACTCTTATACGATCTTTTGTGTGCTTTTCAGGTCTTCTCAACAGCTCCCATTGTAAATGCTGGCTTTTGGTGCTTCCTCCTGACTTCCCTATCAGGTTTCCCTCTGCGGCCACTTCCTTCTATTATGCACACTGCAGCTTTCAGGTCTCTGCCTCAGCTCTCACTGCTTTTCGGCAAGAATCTGAACTGTAAAAACAGTCTTCACCACAGAGCCTTTTTCTTTCTAGCTCACCCACTCCATCAGTTTCTTGTTGTCCTCCTTTTTTGGGTTGTCAATGATAAAAAATGCCTCAATTTCAACTGCTTTCTCTATTCGCTTTCCTCATATGCGGTCGCCATCGCTCTAATCCTGTCCAAGTGACAGGATAGATCCTTGTCCATTTAGTGGGTTTCTCTTACCCACTGGTGGGGGGGGAGGTTTGCATCACCACCCCAGTATCTTCAGAGTTTCCACCTGAATCTGCCGATCCCTTCAGGTTCCGCAGTGCTCAAAAATGAGCCCAAACGAAGAAGTTTGGGTTATAGGTTATGGGAGCTGCCGTTTCTCAACCCCAGCATGATGATGTCACTGCAGGAAGTCCTTTCACCATACTTTCTAGACATCCTTGGCTCAGGCCAAAATGGAAAATGTTTTTCTCTGCCAATTTTCAGGAACTATATCTTTAAAGTCTATTGTTTATGACAACCGAGTCTGCCTAGCAACACATGCAATTGTGAGGGACATATTCCATGCTTGCTAGATAATTTTCAGTTTTGAGATAGATTTCATTGTTATAAATATATATTTCTTTTTCTTTCTTTTCTTTCTGTATTTATATATTTATGCAGTTTTAATTATAGACTAGGTGGAGGTCCCTTCCTTCATATATCACCCTGTATTTATATAAAAATAAAGAGGAATCCTGATTAGAATGGAGCCTTATTAAATGTAGAGATTCAGATTGTCCGTTTCTTGTTCTTGAAGAAAGAGAAAATTCTAATGCCTGATTTGCTTTGCATTTTCTTCCAGGGCAAGCCTGACTTTCGTGACCCTATAAAGGTTTTGCTGGAGTTTAATTTTTCTGACCCCGAGAGCGGACCAATCCTTGACAGTGAGCTACCCAATTCAGTAGCTGAATATGTAAGTCACTACAGTGTGGAAAAAAATTAACTTTTGTGTTACACTATAGAGTTACATAGTGTATTAAGGATGACATTTGATCTTCTACGTGTGAGTTGACTCACTCCATCTACCCCCACTCATTTCAGTCCTCTCTTCAAGCCAACTTATTCCAAAGATGAGAAGGGCCATAGCAGAAATGCAACATTCAAACATCAGGATAGACTAGAGAGGTCACTTAGAGCTGGTCACTCTAGAGGTCACCCCTAGAGAGGTCGCTCCATCTACCCCCACTCATTTCAGTCCTCTCTTCAAGCCAACTTGTTCCAAAGATGAGAAGGGCCATAGCAGAAATGCAACATTCAAACATCAGGATAGACTAGAGAGGTCACTTAGAGCTGGTCACTCTAGAGGTCACCCCTAGAGAGGTCGCTCCATCTACCCCCACTCATTTCAGTCCTCTCTTCAAGCCAACTTGTTCCAAAGATGAGAAGGGCCATAGCAGAAATGCAACATTCAAACATCAGGATAGACTAGAGAGGTCACTTAGAGCTGGTCACTCTAGAGGTCACCCCTAGAGAGGTCGCTCCATCTACCCCCACTCATTTCAGTCCTCTCTTCAAGCCAACTTGTTCCAAAGATGAGAAGGGCCATAGCAGAAATGCAACATTCAAAAATCAGTATAGACTAGAGAGGTCACTTAATTTTTCCCAAAATAAAGAAGTAAATGGTATTGTTATGTTGGGTCCTGTATTGGTAAAATAAAACATGCGTGACTAAATATGGCCATTTGCCTATTCTATAATAAATTTCTATTTGCTTTCTCCATTCTTGAACACAACCAATGCCTTTCTGTGGTAGGAGAAGAAGATATTTCAGCCACATTCTTCCTCAGTATTCTGTTGATGGGGTTATGGCTATGCAAGCACGTATACATACCTTGGGCTTGCTATCAGAAATTTTATGGAAATCTTGGAGCACAGCTCTTCTACAAATTCATATTAGGAATTTGATGACACTATTAAAAACTAGTCAGGATGTTCCAGAATTCAGAACAATGACCAGAAGGGAAAGGGAGATGGGTTTGAATAATGTGTAGTCTTTTCATTGCTGATCAAGAATTCCTTGCAGATCCATTTCACAAAAGATTGTGGAAACAAGAACAAATGTATCACTGATCTACAGCTGACTGCTAACGCAACCATTGGAGGAAGCAGGTGAGTCAAATGAAACACAAACTCTATCTCTATCTCTCCGTTTCTCTGCTTCTCTCTATTTTCTAATTGAATGTTCTGTTTAAAATATGATTTAAAGAGTTAGGTAATGCTAAAGGTAAGGGTTTACCCTCGCACATATGTGCTAGTCATTCCTGACTCTGGGGAGGAGGGGCAGTGCTCCTCTTTGTTTCAAAGCCAAAGAGCCAGTGCTGTCCGAAGATGTCTCCGTGGTCATGTAGCCGGCATGACTAAATGCCGAAGGCATACAGAATGCTGCTACCTTCCCACCAAAGGTGGTCCCTATTTTTAAACTTGCATTTTTACATGCTTTTGAACTGCTAGGTTGGAAGAAGCTGGGACAAGTAACGGGAGCTCACTCTGTTATGCGGTAGGGATTCAAACTGCCGAACTGCCAACCTTTCTGATCACAAGCTCAGCATCTTAGCCACTGAGCCAACATGTCCCCAATTTTAAAGAGTTAAATATAACCAAAATAGAAATAAAAGCAATGGTAGGTCATTATCCTGATCAATGCATAAAAATTATTAAAAATCTAAAGTAGACTAAAGTAGACATGGAAAATGCTTGATAGTTGGCCAACATAGCAGCCCCTTATTTTTTCCTTGTATCACTGGGCTGATAAGTCACATGAGCACTCTGAGCCTCCAAAATAAATGATGCGGGGAGAGGGGAAGAGACAGAAAGGGAAACAGTTGGGATGACACTTACCATATAGGCTATATACTCTTGCAAGGTCATTAGGGGACTGTAGACTAACATATATAAAGAACGGTTAAAAGAATTGAGTATATCTAGTTTAATGAAAAGAAGGATTATGAGTGACATGATCACAGTGTTCCAATATTCTAAGGGGTTTCCCCAGAGAAATTGCAGTCAATGTATTCTCTAAAGCAGCTGAAGGCAGGACAAGAAGCAATGGATGGAAACTAATCAAGGAGAGAAGTAACCTAGAACTAAGATAAATTTTCTGATAGTTAGAACAATTAATCAGTAGAATGACTTGCCTCCAGAGGTTATGGTCTCCAACACTGGAAGTTTTTAAGAAGATGTTGGATAACCATTTGTCTGAAGTGGTGTAGAGTTTCCTGCCTAAGCAAGGGGTTGGACTAGAAGACCTCCAAGGTCCCTTCCAACTCTCTTATTTTGTCACTTGGAGTTTTGGTCTTTCTTACCATTATTTGCAGCTCCTTAACTGTCAAGAATTATTTACAGGCTGCTGGAGGGGACCATATTCCTATTTTAGAAGACGGGTGCACTTTTCAATGAGAAGGTACAGCGAAAGCAAAACATAAGAGCCAAGGTGGCGCAGTGGTTAAATGCAGCACTGCAGGCTACTGCTAGATCAGCAGGTCAGCGGTTCAAATCTCACCGGCTCAGGGT